ACTCATTTGAAAAGAATTTTAAACTCAGTGTTGAAGGTAATGAGTTAATTAAATACCTCATTAATTCAACTCAAATGGAGTAAGTTCACAGTACTCATATAGATTAGTTTTTTAACTCAAATGGTTTGACTTACCTTAACTTATTGGGTTTTACAGTGTATGTTTTTTTTTATTTTGTGTTTCACAAGTGCTTTTAGTTTATTTACCTGTTGTGAAATGCATTATGGGATGTTGTCTGTAAATTAAGAGAAAATGTAATGGCAGTTTTTTTGCAGTGTTTTTGTATATATACAACACCAATCAAGACAATATATCACTTTAAACTATTACAAATATTAATTAAAGTCACTTTATTAAACTTTTCAAGGTTATAAGTTGTTGAAAGAAAAATCAAGGTCCTATAATGCAATTCCAAAGTATAAATAAACAGAAAAAAAACATGAAACACAAAATACAGAAAATTGCTAATTTCGTATATAGTAAAACAGCACATTAAACCAGCAGATCATTAAAGCTTTTTTTTGTTATTTAAAATTAGAAATTGTGCAAAGGACTAAGAAATAGAGTAATATTAAATAGTTAACATTTGATTAAAGAAACATTTATGATAATCAAGATTATGGTTTGATTTGTAAGTACATTTCTTTATGCGAATGCTACATTTCTTTAAGAGCCTTGGCTTTAGTCTAAAATATCTATTCAGTATACTCTGAACAAAGAAAAATGCAGTTCTGTAGTGAGCTTGTGTCTGTTTCCTCTTGACATTCTGCATATTATCATGGAAAAGCTATGATTCACGCAGCGGCCGAGCCTCAGGGCGGCTGCTATACCTTACAGAGACAGGAAAACCCAAAAATATCTCACGCCTGGACAATGGAGACATAAAACAACAACCGGTGTCATTTAGAAAAAACTAAGGAGAATAATACAGGCAGCATGGGTTTGCTGTGAGAATAAGCACACGTTTGCTTAAGACAGCTATTATGAGACCTGAACTTCAAGTATGACTGCTTTGTGTGTGTGTGTGTCATCTCCACACACACACACACACACATCACTCATGTAAATGAATCGCATAAGTGACACGCACCGTATTTACCATTCAAATTAGGCAGACATGCTCACAAAAGCAGAACCGCCATATCAGATCACGAGGCTTTTTAGTTGCTGTTGTAATGTCCTAAATAAAAAACCAAACCAGTCGCTTATTAAGAGGTGAAGAGTATTACACCTTATAAATAATCGTAAATTAAATATTTTCCACATTTTGTGATTCATGTTTGTTTTATTATGCTTTTGAATTGCGTTATGGGACTTTGATCTTTCCTACAACAACTTTTAATGTTGAAAAGTTTGGAAAATGTAACATTTATTGTCATTTTGAATACAGCTTTTGCTTTAAAAATCCCAAGTTGATTCTAGTAAATGAGACAGAATATAAAAAACACAAACAAAATATCCATAAATTAGCAGTTTTTCATATGTTGTGATTCACTTTTTAATTTTTTTTATTTTCCATTTATTAATGCTTTTGAATTGAAATAGGGACAACTTTTGAAAGTTAAAAAAAACTTATATATATATATATATATATATATATATATTTTTTTTTTTTTTTTTTTTTTTTTAAATTAAACTTTTAATAGTTTAAATGCAGCTTTTGCTTTAAAATGTTAAAATTTTGGTACATAAAAATAAAACATATACTGTAAAAAGCAATTAGTAACTTATTTTTAAAAAGTGAGTAGCCTAACTCCCTCGTAACTTGGACCTGTTAAGTTGACTTAATTTTTATAATTATGCATATAATTCACTTAATCATTTGAAGGCAATGGGTTTACTCACTTTTTTATCTAAAGACAACTATTCACTTTAAAAGCTACAGCTTTAATCACTTTTTTTAAAGTGCATGCAATTAATGGCTTTTTTATTATGTGTGTAGACTTAAATATCTGTAACAGATATTGGAAAAAATTTGTTTAAATATATTGGATATCGGTAACCAATATCAGTGATCCCTAGTGTGAAGTGATATAGACTGATGCTATAAATTACAGTACAAACCAAATATTAGTATCAGATATCAGCCCAAATTAGTTAAAATATATCAGATATCGGCAAAAACCCAACATCCAATTTTGATGATCTCAGTGTGAAGTGATATATTTTCTAGATTGGTGTTGTAAATTGCAGTACAAAACAAATATTGGTATTAGATATCGGCTCAAATTACTTGAAATATTGTCAAATATTCAATATCCAATTTTGATGATCCCTAGTGTCAAGTGATATATTTTCTAGATTGGTGTTGTAAATTACACTACAAAACAAATATCGAAATCAGATATCGGACCAAATTAGTTGAAATATATTGGATATTGTCAAAAATCATCAGTATCAATGATCCCATATGATACATCAAAAGTCAACAAAGCAGAAATCGACATCTCATAATGCAATTCCCAAACATAAATAAACAGAAAACTTCCATGAATCATGAAAATGTAAATGAATCATGAAAACAAAACTGTTAATAAACTGATTATTATTTTTTTTATTTTGTTTTTGTACAGTATAGGCTACTGTATACCGAAATATTAAAAATCTAATCTATATTTGCTCAACTTCAACTTTATTTTTGCTAAAGGTTGTCTGGCTACTGATGACCCAGGTGGTGTTTGTCACTATTTTGTTTAGAAGAAATTTTTATTCTAAATTATTATTATGTACTATTGAGACTTTTTTTGCAAAGGTAAAGAGTTAGTCTAAGAGTCTAACTAAGCAACCATTCCACTGTACAGTGTGTGGGTATGAACTATTATAGTCATTTAATCTTTATTCATCCCACAGTGTAATGGACGCCAAGTTGAGTACACTAGTTTATCTGTTGGCACAATTGTTTGACTCTGCTTGCCTTCTCGTCTTGTGGCAAGCCATTTTAACAGTAATTCTTCACAAGCAATAATAGTACTTGTTTTACCTAGCCTAACAACATATATTATATTTTTTATTCAACATTTATTATCTGTTGTTAGTTTTAGAGTTTCAATTTTAGAAATTTTATTGTCATTGTATCATTTGCATGTATAATAAAATTTAAAAGTGCCAACCAGTTAAAGTGCAGTAGTCCTACATACTGTACAAATTTAAAAAGTACTATAACTTATTTACTAATTTTGAAAAAATATCTGTGACATTTTTCTTATTTTGAGTCTTTTTTATTTTATTTACATTTTTATTAGTTATGTACAATGATAATACTATTAAAATGTGTAAAGTTGTTAATATATTTAATAAAATTTCAGTATTATTAATAATACTTTATTATTATTATTATATTAATAATAACATATTTCAGTTTAGTCTTGTTTTTATTATATATTTCAGAATTTAGAATTATTTTTTTAAATATTGTAATATTATTATTTTATTTGTTTCATTTTTTGTGATGTTTTTATTTTATATTTTATTAAAATTTTCTATTGATAAAATTCTGGATAATTACTATTTTTGTCAATAATAATATTACTAATAATAATAATAGTTATGTTTGTTAATACAATTTATAAATAAACATTAATATTAATACTTTTTACATTCATCCAATTTTTTTTAGTTAGTTTATTTATTCAATTATGTCATGTATTTGGTAAATAAACAACCTTATTTGTATTAATTTAATTAATTTAAATTACTCACAGCAAGAAGGTGGCTGGTTTGAGCCTCAGCTGGAACCCAGTGATGCGTTGCGGCTAAAAGAGCATCCACTGTGTAAAACAAAACGTAAAATAAAACGTTTTTTTTTATTTTTTGTTTCAGTAAGGCTTGACAGTATACAAAAAGGTTCAGAAGAATATTACAAAAGACAGAATACACAAATTACGTGCTGTGTATTTACAAGGACAAAAATAAGAAAACATAAAAAAATGTACAGGTAAATAGCAAAAAAATATAGATGTGTATAAAAATACATTTAAAAAAGCCTAAAACCGTTAAAACCAAGAGTCAATCGATATACAGGTGAAGTCAGAATTATTAGCCCCATTTTTATTTTTATTTTCTGTTTTTAAATATTTCCGAAATGATGTTTAACAGAGCAAGGAAATTTTCACAGTATTTCCTATAATATTTTTTCTTCTGGAGAAAGTGTTTTTGTTTTATTTCGGCTAGAATAAAAGCAGTTTTTAATTTTTTAAAAAACATTTTAAGGTCAAAATAATTAGCCTCATTAAGCTATATATTTTTGATAGTCTACAGAACAAACCATCATTATACAATAACTTGCCTAATTACCCTAACCTGCCTAGTTAACCTAATTAACCTAGTTTAGCCTTTAAATGTCATTTTAAGCTGTATAGAAGTGTCTTGAAAAATGTCTAGTAAAATATTATTTACTGTCATCATGGCAAAGATAAATAATAATATATAAATAATATATTTATAATATATAATATAAATAATATATATATATATATATATATATATATATATATATATATATATATATATATATATATATATAATAACAAAGGTAAAAAAATATATTCATTAGATTTGTTTACAAAATCAAAACAACAAATAAGGGTCACTCTATACAAAAAGATGTCTATAGTTATTATATTTACTTACTAAAAATTCTGAACAATACTTGTACAGCATTAATCATAGTTCAACATTTACTTATGCATTATTAACATCCAAATTTAACATGAACAAACAATAAACAACTGTATTTTCATTAATAATGAAAAGATATGAGAAATGAATGTAGTGTTAATTCGCAGTTTGTTCTTGTTTGTAAATGCATCAACTAATACAACCTTATTGTAAAATGTTACCCAAGTGATTCTAAAAATGGCCTGCCACATTTCCTTTCCCCGTGACATCAGCGGCAGGAGGCGGAGTCTTCGGCTGAACAGGGCAGGTGAGCGCGCAGGTGGAGCTCAGCCTCGAGTTTCCCAGCAGCGCACAACAATACGCGGTGCAGAGCAGAGGCCTCTGGGGAACTCACACTCGCACTACCATGACACAAAACAAGGTCAGCTTCGTAAAACGCTAGCTTTAACACCTCGAATGATTGCTTGAAGTTATTGTGAAAAGAAAAACCAGATTACCCGGAGAAATGATCAGCTCGGAGGCTTTGCGCCCGACGCCGAACGCCGCGCGTAAACCCCTCGGAAAGCTGGCGAGCCGGCTGGAGGAGGTGAAGAACCCGTGGAAGCAGTTGTCAGCGCTGGAGCTCAGCCACAACGAGACCGCCAGACTCGCCACCGACGCGCTGCTGGAGCACGGCGAGAAGGAGTACAAGAAAGTTCTGCACGAAGAAAAAGAGCTCAACTTTCTATCCGCGCTGGAGATACGCTACATCACCGAAAATGTGGCCAAAGTCGGCGACGCGGACAGTGGGAGCAACGGAGTGGACTTGGAGGAGGGCGACGCTGTGTCCGAGCTGACTTCGGGGACTTACTTCCCTATGATGTCTGACGAGGAGCCGCCGATGCTGGAGCTGGGCTGGCCGGAGCTCTCCACCAGGATGGGCCCCACTGAGGCCAACATATACTTCCAGAGGGACAAGACGAAAAATGTCAAAGATCACATTCGGTCGCTTATTAGCAAAGCCAAGAAGGTGAGACGAACAACAACTCAATTGTACCACCTAAAAGGGTCTAGTGTTTGAGTAATACTTAGTTTCCATGAGGTTTACTGTGAAATTGCGTTGCTGTGGCTGCTTTGTTTGTGTAGTGTGTCGTAAACAAGATAGCACTTTAGTCTAAGTAACAATTCACATTATTAACTACTTATTACTTGCTTTTTATTAAGATATTAACTTAATACGTAAACCAAACTACTACTTGAGGTAAAGTTGTTTTTATAGTCGCACATTAGTTAATTCAGTGACAACTTGTGACATGCCTCCCTATAGTGTTTACTATAGTACTTCGAATATTCTGTCTGAAATAAAATTCACGTATGAGTTTAAAACAACATTAGCGCTATGTAATTGACTGTGAACAATGTTGTACTTTAGTCATCAGCTGCTAATATAATTTTACTGTTTATAATGTGCAAAGATTATTTATTATTAATTATATTAAAAAGAAAGTCCAAAAGTCTGAATTTAAAACTACTACTACTATCTCTTAAAGGGTTGGTTTACCCAAAAATGAACGTTTACGTACTATTAACACTCTCTCGAGTGGTTCCAAACCTTTACAAGTATCCATAGTAGGAAAAACAAATACTATAGAAGTCGATTAGTTTCCACCATTCTTCAGAATTTCTTCTCTTATGTTCAACAGAAGAAAGAAACACAAACAGGTTTTGATCAAGTGAAGGGAGAGTAAATGATGGAAGAATTTAAAACTTTGGATGAACTATCCTTTTAATGCACAGCTAATTAGTAGTTTAATGAACAAAAAGTCTTAGTTAATGATTTGGTAATCGCATGAATTGTACCTTAAAATAAAGTGTGAAAAAGATACATTTTAGCACCTTTACGACAGCTGAATAACTGCATTTTTATAGTGCATGTGGTAACTTTTATGCACTACAAAAATAAAAAGGAATCATTAGACTACACCGCGTATAATTAGATAAGACTGTGACTTCACACACAAACATTTATGAGTGCTGTTGGTTTACATATAAAAAGCTAGGCAAATATTAGCATGACTACAATATTTCACGATCAACCTGTTTAAATGCTCTTTATAAATACACTAAAATCATCTTAATAGCAGTTAATAAATAGAAATGGAAAATAAATCTTCGTTAAAGCTGTTAAATGTACAGAATCTCTTATTAATGTAATTTTTATATTGCTATAACAGTTAGCCTGCACTCCACAATGCTGCTTGTTCAAACTACTTATTAAAAATGAGCTGAAACAACGCAATTCTTGAGATTTCTTGAAGACATCTTTATAGTTTTATGTTCAGTCTACTTAAATTTGTTTCATTTAACTTATTTGCTTTGTGTTGGAACAAAATGAATTAATTTTGTATTTTTTTGTATTTAAAACGTATAAATGTTTTGAAAGTTACCAAGCAGGATTTTAGGTAGATTAAAAGTGTTTGTAATTGTATAAATATTGTCACAGTAAACATTGTTTATGGACAGTTGCTCAATCATTATGGTGGAAACTTTATTTTGCTTTGGAATGATAATTATGGTTAAAAGTGCTGTACAAATAACCTTGAATTGTATTGAAGACTTGAATTTTAGCTATGAAAGCTTCTGTAGTAGAAATGTGATGGAAAATGTTACTGCAACTATATCCTGCAAATCAGACTTTCTTTTTTCCACAGAAATCATATTACAATATACATACAGTGGTATGGAAAGTAGTCAGACCCCCTTAAATCTTTCACTCTTTGTTATATTGCAGCCATTTGCTAAAATCATTTTAAGTATTTTTCCCCCATTTAATGTACACACAGTAGCCCATATTGACAGAAAAACACAGAATTGTTGACATGTTTGCTAATTTCTAAAAAAAAATAATAATTAAGGCCCCATTTACACTAATATGTTTTAGATTTGAAATGGCGTTTTAGATTAAAAACGTTCCACGTCCACACTGGCGTTTCACCTAGCGTTTTTGAACCGATCTCAGTCCACACTTCACTACTGAAAACGCATGTCACGTGACCACACTCTGTCATGCGCTGCAGCGTATGTGCACATCTGAGCTCCAGGCAGTCAGTGGGTGCTTTGAGCACAGCTCTCCAGACAGTTCATCAAGGATTATACCGATCTCATCTTACTGTAGTTGTTTAACGTTATATTAAATTTATCATCTCTATCAAAAGCCTGTTTTACACCGCAAGCGTGAGCAGTGCATGTTTTTTCAGCATACATGTTAACAGATTAGAGCTTTTATACCGCACGCAGAAGCAGCGCATTAGGGTGAGGCATGAGCGTCACTGAAGCAGGAGTGCTGTGAAAGTTTCGACGCTGGGTCTATTTTTGCCACCATGCTCACGCTCAGTTAAAGTGACAGTGCATTGATAATGACCAAAAACACATTGAGTGACAGTAAAAAGTAGCAATTTTACCTAATAATGGCATCGATATTATCCACTGATTTTATATATTCAATCAAATGAACTTAAATGATTAAAAACAGCAGCAAATATTTTAGTTTGGCAATAACTACAAAACCAAATTCAAAACACCTTTGCTTAAGTTGCACACTTTTTTAATCATGTATAAGTATCATTATAACTATATTGTATAAATATTATTATAAGTATAGGCCTGCATCATTCTGACAATCAAAAACAAAATGACATGATATCACAGGGGATTGTCTTCTGACTGAGTGCACCTTAAAAGACATGAATGACACTCCTCAGAGTATGAGGAGCAAACAGTTTTTTAAAATCTATATAATTTGTAAAAAATAAAATAAAAATAAAAAAGAATTGCAGGTTAAGGAAACAGCATAGGAGGAAGTTGCACGGGGACTTGGTACAGATGAAATGTTTAAAAAGTGTATTTATAGATAGATAGGTAACAAGATAGAATAGACGGAGATAGATTGATCTTTGCAGCAGCTGCTGATGAGCTTTTGCTCTCCATATGCTGATTCTGCACATTTGACTTTATTTTCTATATTGTATAAACTTATTGTACGTTATACATTAATAATGGCCATTATTGATTATAAAAAGAATTGATAAAGTTATTGATTATATATTCAAAAAGGCGGCAACACCAAAGCACCTAAAATGTTGATTTATTAAATTAAAAAGGCTGACACAAAGTGGAAAATTATTGATGAGATTATTGATATTCAGCTAAAGAGAGGGTGTGTTTAAAATTTTTCAATGAAAGTGAAATGAGGCCGCTATGTTATAGGTTCTTTTTTATATATAAATATGCAAACAGTGGCGATGACGGTCATATAAATATGTAACTACATGATACCTTAACATTTTTGGTGTCTGTTGAGTTAATATCAAAATGAAAATAAGCAGTTCCACATATCATGTTTTTATTTTATTGTTAAGATGGTGAAACAACTTAGCCAAGATAATGTGAATGGTGTTATTAAGTAGCATACACAGTTCCCTTTAAAGAGTCACCCGATGTTTCTTCGGGAGTTTGTTTTCTATATCAAACTTCCGAATTCTGAACTTAGAAGGAAAGGATGCAAGACTGAACTTTGTGTACTTAATATTGAGGGGAAAACCCCAATCAGATGCAGCCCCGCCTCCGTTTTCAGATGTCTTCGTTTTCCCGCATCCACACTGACATGGAGCAGCAGCGCTTTAAAACCAAAACAGCCTTTTGAGCATTTTCGAAATTATCCGTATTTGGGGCTCAAAAACTCCAGGGTAGTGTGGGCGCAAGGCAAAACCATAGTTAAACTTATGCATTTTAAAATTATTAGTGTAAACGGGGCCTGAAATATCATATGGTCCTAAGCATTCAGACCCTTTTAATAAATTTAAGGGGCTCTGAATACTTTCCGTACCCACTGTACATAATAACAGTTCCACAAGCAAAGAATTATAAGCTTAAATAAAGTACAATTGCGTAAATGTTTTTTATTTAATGCATACCCTAACCCCTTTTTTTCTCAACAACAACAGGTTATCGCAATAGTCATGGACATTTTTACAGACGTGGATTTGTTCTGTGATTTAATGGAGGCCTCCAACAAGCGCAGGGTTCCAGTGTATATTTTACTGGACGAGAAGAATCTCAGTCATTTCTTGAATATGTGCTCAGAACTGGACGTCCAGAACTCACACCTGAGTGTAAGTCAAACCCTGACGCATATCTGCTCTCACTGAATGCATAATAATAAGCTTTAAGAAAAGGATCAATGAGATGGGCGTTCTTTGTTTAGCTCTTGAATACATTTGTCAGTCAACAGCATAACATAAGTCCAAAAATAAGCTCATTCAGATGAAAAGCAAGTGCTATACAAAGTTTCAAATGCATTTCCGAGGCTTTTATTAAACTTGTTTGTCATATTGGGTGTAACAACTTGAATTCTTAATTCTAGTGCAGCACAATGTATAATTTCAGAATTGATGGATGTGCAATGTTGAGTTTGTATTAGGGCTGCACTATGGTTTCAGCACAATATTGCAATGTGTGTGTCCGCAATAATCACATTGCAGTAAATGCAATGTTGAGTTAGGATTATAGTTGATCAGCACAACAGTTGAGAATATATGAGATTTGTAGAGTCATTGTAAAGTATAACCATAACAGAGTGAATCTTTAGCATTTGTGTGTGTTTTAAAGGCATTTCAAGAAAGTTTAAAGCATTCGAGCACAAAAAAATACATTTGTACTTTAGTAAAGAATAATTTTACTGAATTATTACTATGAAGATTATACAGTGTTGATTTAAGTTTCATTATCAATTTCCGTACCTGAATATGGTTTGACTCTATGGAAAAATCATAAAGTGCTGTTTATTTCACTTTTTTTGTTGCATTGATATAATAATATTCACTTGCCATTTGTTTTTATTTTTGTATACATGATTCACATCCTTACAAAAATCACCTCACTCAATGTTTATTAATGATTTCTTTCCAAATAGAGCTATTCAAGGCGTCTGGTGAAATTATATGCAGAACACAATATTTAAATTGCAGAGAAACAAAATATTGCAATGTCGGACACACACATTGCATTATTGATGCTGAAACCATATATAGTGCAGCCCTAATGCAGATACACTCCCATTCCACAATCATGTGGAAGTGGTGTTAGTGAGGCGAGCAGGGCGTCTGTGTGGGTCCAAATGCACCAGTATAGTGACGGGGACTCTATACTGCTCAGTGAGCGCCGTCTTTCGGATGAGACGTTAATCCGAGGTCCCAACTCTCTGTGGTCGTTAAAAATCCCAGGATGTCCTTCGAAAAAGAGTAGGGGTTTAACCCCGGAATCCTGACCAAATCTGCCCACTGGCCCCTGTCCATCATGGCCTCCTAACCATCCCCATATCGTAATTGGCTTCATCACTCTGTCTCCTCTCCACCAATCAGCTGGTGTGTGGTGTGCGGTCTACTGCAAAATGGCTGCTGGCACACTGGTGGTGGATGAGGAGATTTCCCACCATTGTGTAAAGCGCTTTGAGTGTCCAGAAAAGCGCTATATAAATGTAAGAAATTATTATTATCATTATTATTATTATAATCCCAATTTATCTAAAATGATAAATTCTTTCCATAGGGATATTCAAGTCATCTGGAGTAATTGTATTCATATAGCACAATATATCGCAGAATAACATAAGAAATTGCTATGTCAAATTCTCCCAATATTCTTATTCTGTCCAAAAATAATTATGTTTTTCCTTTTAATCAATGGATCATCTAACATTGGTTTAATGCTCCCTTTCAGAATATGCGGATAAGAAGTGTTTGTGGAGACACGTATTGCACCAAAAGTGGGAAGAAATTCACAGGTCAGGTTCAAGAGAAATTCATGATCATTGACTGTGAAGAAGTCATCGCTGGATCCTATAGGTATGTTAATCATGTCTTTTAGTGTTTATTCATGTATTGGGTAATTTAGTTTGTTAAAAAAGTACATTATGTACTTATAATATTTGAGCTTATGTCATAAATGCAAAATAATTTTATAACTTCAATATAAGTTCTGTCATTTTTGTGAGATGCTTTAAATCAGTGGTTTCCTGTGCGGGTCACAGTACAATGACAGGGGGTCGCTTGGTGATTTTCCAAAAGACAAATAAGTTTTATTAAACTTAAAATTACCATATTTTATCTGTAACCCACAGAATAAAAATTTTTTAAAAAGCCATCAGTGTTTACATTTTCAGTGGATTGGTGTGTTTACGATTAACAACACAGCAATAGCATAGCAGATAGATTTTATAGCGTTTACTGACACCTTTATGTCAATCAAATACATTAAAAATAAAAACAGGCCACAGCTGAATATTGAGAATGATCTCTGAGTGACGGTCTCCAAAATTAAACCAGGAATAGACTAGTGCTGCTCGATTATGGGAAAAATCATAATCACGATTATTTTGGTCATAATTGTAATCAACTGATAATCGTTTTGAATAATCATAAAGTCAAAATTATTTGCCCTTCTGTGATTTTTTTTTTTTTTTTTTTTTTTTTTTTTTTTAAATATATAAATATTTCCCAAATGATGTTTAGCAGAGGAATTTTTCACAGTATTTCCTACAATATTTTTTTCTTCTGGAGAAAGGCTTATTTGTTTTATTTCGGCTAGAATAAAAGCTGGTTTAAATGTTTTGAAATCTATTTTAATAGCTCAATACTATTAGCCCCTTTAAGCAATATATATTTTTAATGGCTGCAGAAGAAACTACTGTTATACAATGACTTGCCTAATTGCACTAATTAAGCCTTTGAATGTCACTTTAAGCTGAATACTTGTATCTTGAATAATATCTAGTAAAATATAATGTACTGTAATCATAGCAAAGATAAAATAAATCAGTTGTTAGAAATGAGTTATTAAATCTGTCATGTTTAAACTGTGCTTTAAGCATCTTCACTGTAGGAGAAAACTTTAGCTACAAAAGTCCTTCAGTCAAAAGCAGTGAGGGATTTTCTCCTTTTGTTGTTTGATTAATGATAAAAACAGGCGGCAGCAGAATATTGCATGCTGTCACTTTAAGAATAGTGCAGCTCTGATATAGTTTCTTTCACATGTCTTTTGATTCTCAACTGTAGAACTATGTTTATTACACAAATGAAGGTTAATATGAATAATCACTTAACACCGCGCTCTGACACAAATGTGCATGTATTTGACCATTAAAGTGCTCACATTAAGATAGCTTTGTGTGTGCTCTGCTCATCTCCGAGCCTGTCCGAGGCCAAGCGCGGCGCGCACACACACACAACTGCATGTGCTCTTTCGCGCTTTTAAAAATATGAATGCAAAAGTTGCATTATAGCACAAGTTTTGTCATTTTCACTTGGAACTGAGCTTTGCAGATCAACAAATGTGTACAACTGGAAAGGGGGCAGTAAATGATGGAATAATCGTTTATCTCGATTAATGGTTTTTCATATTCGTTAGAAGCCAAAATCGAAACCGAATTTTTGATTAATTGCACAGCCCTAGAATAGACTTGTGCTGAAAACATTTTGCCTACCAGTCTCTGTAGCTGAGGTTAATATTAAATTAAAAAAATCAATAAATTACTATATAAATTATAGCCTATGGTTGTTTGACTGTTTTTTTGTGTGATCAATATGTTCATGTTTTATAGGCCTATTGTTGTATGTGCAAGGTTTGCATATTTATAACCACACTTCCAATAACATCACATATTGATTCAACCGGTGTCTGCTACAGTGTTTGTTTTCCTCTTTGCTACTGTTTGTGGGTGGAGCCGCAGGTTTCAATTTTCATGGGTCTGCGCCATATACTGTAAAATATATGGACGTAGTATCCGTGACGTCACCCATAGGTTTCTGAAGAGCGCGAAAGAAGCCACAATTAGGCGTGGCCAACCGTCGCCATTTTGTTCGCGCGTCATTGCACTCACGGCGGGATACCAAACAAGGGCGGAGAGTGAGCAGAGCTACAGACACCTGCTGGCATTTTGCTTGGACCTGGTTCAGACACACTTTACTTTGGGAAAATGCTTAATACTTTATCACCTGCGACTCGTTTGTATTCTGACCATATGCTTGGCTGTACACTATATCAATAAAGCGTTTAGACCAGGGGTCACCAATCCTGGTCCTGGAGGGCCGGTGTCCCTGCAGGGTTTAGCTCCAACCTTGCCTCAACACACCTGCCTGGATGTTTCAAGTATACCAAGTAAGACCTTGATTAGCTTGTTCAGGTGTGTTTAATTAGGGTTGGAGCTAAAATCTGTAGGACACCGGCCCTCCAGGAACAAGTTTGGTGACCACTGGTTTAGACTTTTAAAAACACTGTAGTAATACATTGAGCCACTAAGTATTGTTCTTATGACATTTTCCTACAGGAGGAAAACGCAAATGACTTCCAAACACTTCAGATATAGTCTGTGTTAGTAAATGCAAGACTATTGATGACATCTAGCATAACACTGTATGATAACACTTCAGATGACTGTTCTACAGTCCACATCTAATCAATTTGTCAGATTCTGGAGTGCATTACAGCTCTAAACAACGTTATAAATGATACATGATCTAAAAAAAAACAAATACATGTATAGAGATGGTTTACAAGTATATAAATTTTCTAACATGGGAAACAGAGGCTACGTGAATGGTTTGTGAGCACAATTAAGTTAACATAGCATCCCATATCATCTGATTATTATAGGAAATAATCCCAAAAGGCAACTGACTGTGTAAAGCCACATAAAACAAGACAAAAGTATAATGAATATGCTGAAATCAGTGGCTAATCTGCTGGAGTCAGCTGAGGTGAAGTGACGCCGACCAGCGAGACCTAGCTGTCAATCAAGTGGCCACACCCTTAATTATGCAAACTTAAAATAACCTAATATAAAGGAAACTGATGAGTTATAAAAAAAATTAACATTGTCATGAAGGGTAATATTAGCTGTATGAACCAGAATCGTTCTTTGTACCAGGCTGTAAACACCTTTTTTGTACTGTAAAGTTGGCCATTCTAACAGTGGGCTCAATTAAACTTTGCTTTATTATGGAGCCAGGACTAGCGGAATTTCAATGAATTGCAGTTTCAGATACTTCCGTATTGGCCTCCCGAGAGAGAGCGGGAGGTTGCCGCTTGGTCTGCGCGTGCAACAATTGGGCGGGGTTTAAGTTTCATATCGACGTCACGCCAAAACGGCTAAAGACTTGTTATCAAGACGATTCACTTGAAGCACTATGAGTCGACTCTTTTATAAATGAATCAATAGTTTTAAACACTGTGCATTATCAGATTTAAGCCTCAGCTGGATATTTCACTTCACTTAGAGCTGTTACACACTACATGGAAGGTCATTTTAAAACCTGTAACAGGGGCTCTTTAACAAGCATGAATTTGGATGTTACTTATGCATTAGTAAGTGATAAATGAATGCTATACAAGTACTCTCTATAATTAGTTCATGTTAGTAAAAACATTAACTCATGAAACCCTATGGTAAAGTGTGAATATTATAAATGTTGCTGTTTAAATTAGATTTATTTCATCTATAAAAATTACCGTTATGCCAAGTAAACATTTAATTAATTTAACATTTCATATTTTAAACATGGGTTCAATTAAAATGAACAAAATAGCCGTATTATACAGGAAATGTTGCGCTACGCAAACCAACACACTGCTTAACACTTACTGCATGTTACGGCATGATTTTTAAAAGCGAACTCTGCACTTGAGGCGACTCGCAATTTTTCACAGGAGGAATTCAGTTGCTTTAAATTATTCACGTTCAAATGCCCATCAGTCCTGTCTTATCTGCTTTCACTCATATCACTCGGTATTATGTAAAGCGTTTTAGCGCATGACAGCGTTTTGGCAGTTCCTCTTAGCAAAACGACAGGACGTGCAACTCCTGCGCTTCAGCAGGCATCTGGAGACTTGAGGAGCTTAGAAAACATGATGATTCTGCGTTTCTCAGGCACAATGTGTGTTAGCGTTAGCATTTCTCAGGCACAGTGTGTTAGCATTAGCCCCAGTGCTGTTATAGCCGGGACTTCCAAGCCTCAATGGCTGTTTTTTGTTGTGGAAGTTGATTAATCATAGAAAAAAAGTAGGTTGTTTTGGGGGCTAAAGACCTATAAGCAGGGCCAGACAGAATCTCTCCATATTTTTAGCTATTTCTTCACAGAATTTTGCTGATTTAGTAACTAAAAACTTAACAAATTAAATAAAAACAACATATTTTTAACTTTTATTTAAGGGTATGATTCTCCTGTTAGTGTTAGTATTTCTCATGCACAGTGTGTTTTAGAGTTAGAGTTTAGTTTAGCATTAGCCCCATTGCTGTTATAGCAGTGACTTCCAAGCCTCAGTGGCTGGTTTGTGTTGTGGAAGTTAATTAGTTATAGAAAAAAAGTAGGTTGTTTTGGGCCTATAAGCAGGGCCAGACAGAATCTCTGGACATTTTTTGCTATTTCTGCACTGGATTTTGCTCATTTAGTAACTAAAAACTTAACAAATAAATAAAACCAGCATATCTTTAACTTTCATTTAAGAGTTACAATGCAAACCTTTTTAGAATCAATTGTTTGGTAAACAAAGCAAGTCTCTCATATACTATATTTACTAAAAGACTGAAAATGGTCACACTTTCCAATAAGGTTTCATTAGTTAATGTATCTACTAACATGAACTAAAAACGAACAATATTTGTACAGCATTTATTAATCTTAGCTCAACATTAAATAATGTGTTGTTAAAATCCAATGCTTGCACTGTGAGTTAACAAGAACTAACAATGAACAACTTTAAAGCCATGATCACGCATGAATAGATGCTGTAATAATAAATGTATTGTTTATGTTAGTAAATACATTATCTAATACATCCTTATTGTAAAGTGTTACCCAAGAAATACCATTTTACAAACAGTTTTGTGCATAAATCATCCAAACGTGGGCTGTTTCTCAATTCCATTAACGCAGAGAACAGCATTGCGTCCTTCTGGAGACCGGTCTGGCCAGGTATCCTCGGAAGATCGAACATAGGAGACCGTGAGGACACTGAACGCATCCTTTGAGAAATGAGATGCTGTGTTCTTCCTGATGGTCACATGACCTTCACAAGTTTTAAATGGTAAATTATTTAAACATTACAGCCTTCATACAACGATTTATTGTTTTCCCCTTTTCAAAATATATACTTTGCATAAAAACATTATAAATATATGTTGCACAATATAAATAAAACAGATTTTAATAAGAATTTCAGCAAATAAACACCCTTAATGTGTATATTTCTTTATTAAGATGGTCATGGTAATGTTTACTTTCATAGTTTCATTCAGGGAAACTCCTGAGGTAAATCTCTGAACTTTAATAATAAATCTAGATAAAATGCGGCGCTTCCCACCTCCAGTCACAATGACCTTTAAGACTTCCAGAGCGGGTTCGGTGCTCAAGTCTGCATTGGTGTGTCCTCTATCAAGATCACATCCGGAAAGTTTCACGCGTCCTCTGTTCTCGCGGTCTTGAGTATTGAAACTGAACTTAGGCAGCTGATGATGACGTTGCACGAGAACACGAGTACGCAAGGCCGCTGAAGAACGCATATTGAGAAACAGCCTTCGAGTATGCCAGTCCAGTCTGGGGTGGACTTCCTAAAAGTCTCTCCGAGTTAGAGAGGATCGAAAAGCGATGCTGTTGAATAATAGATGTTCTGACTTCAACTTTTCCAACACTGAGCAAAAGGTGTGAGGAAGCACCGTACGTACTCTCACTAAAATACTCGATGACAGTTTATCACCACTACATTGTTTCCTGCCTAGGGCTCCTGTGTCATTAGGGGTGCAACGGATCACAAATCTCATGGTTCAGATCACGCTACAGTTTTTGAGTCACGGATCGTCATTTGCATTCCTTGTTCTGCTAAACATAATTTGGGCAATATCTATTTTTTAAAAAGTTCTCAGGAGCGTTAATAATTTTGACTTCTTCAACTGATAATCGTTTTGAATGATCTTGATTACAGTTATGACCAGAATAATCGTGATTATTATTTTTCCCAAAATCGAGCAGCCCTAATGGACACAATGATATATATATATATATATATATAGCAATGAATCAACCTATAAGCAATCTCAGGTGTGCATGGGTTATGTCTAACAGCTAAACTAATCTGCTTTTCACTTGGGATGAATAGGCATTAATAGACGGATTGAGTTAGTGGAGGATTTGTGTTGTTATTTGAGAGTTAATTCGACTCCTAGTGTGAACTGTGTGTATCTTTATGCATGTTAGCACACACTGTTGTGGATTGTGGGTGAGGCCACACTCATGTGTCAAAGGCTTTGCTCGTATAATATCCAACAGGGAGTTTTTGTTTGACTAGAACTTCACACAGTTCAAAGGGAAATAACTTGCAAACATATTTTTTTGTGAAACTACTCATTTCAGCTGGGAAATGTTTGACAGATAAATTGCAGTTTTCTTTCTTCTGTGCTCTTTAAACCTATAGAGCGGAAGGATGATCTAATGTAATGCTTATCACATGCGCTTTTATTTCAATATTGTGTAAGACGTTTGAGCAGTGTCATAAACAGATGGTTGGCATGCATGCATGCAGTTAAACACTTGTTAGCTTAAGTCACCTGAATCATCCATAAAAGTGTAATTAGGTTAGCTTCAGTTTTAACCTCCTAAGCAAGGCTGTATGCAGTTTATGATCCTTATTTTTGAAACACAAGCAGAAAGATTTTCTTGTAAATGGTAAAAGCATTAAATTTAGTGTGAGGAATTATGCAAGAGTGGTTTTAGGAATGAACTAGTGCTAATGTTATGTGTTTTGTGTGCGTTTTTTATTGTGTACAGTCTGTGCCTGAAGTATCATATTGTTAAAATGTTGCATTAAGCAGATGGTTTAACCTTGACTGAAATTACCTCATTTATTCTGCCTCATGTGGTTTTAAGATTTTTTTAATGTGAAGTTGAACACTGACAGCGGAGGTTCGTATCCAAATGTGGGTTTATTAACTGGATGGTCAGGCAGGCAACGGTCAACTAGGCAAGAGACGGTAACCGTTCTCAAGATGTTTGGACAAAAAGTCAAGGTTTTAAAACCGCCACAATTTTCTGTAATACCGTTCCTAAGGTATGTGTACGTTAATTTTTTTGTTTTTGTTTTTTGGACGACAGTATCTCCAACAGAAAAGATATTCAAAGGTGCCATTTAAAATTATTAAGAAATCAGTTTTTAAGCTAATGAAGACCCCAGAAGTGAATTATTAATTTAAATTATTTAGTCTGACATGTTTACTGCTCCAAAATATTTAAAATTTTTCTCAAAATTAAGTATATTGTGTTCAAAGGGGGAACATGTTGTTTTTTACCCAGATTTTTAAAAAGAATACATTTTAGAGCAGTAATCACAATACCGCGAAATCGTAAAACCATAGTATTTTTTATCTAAGGTTGTCATACCTCCAGAATCTTATACCAGCCCATGCCTACGGTCAACAGGGTCAAACAGATGTATTTAGGCAATCCAGAGTCGTAGTTGTTAAACAGGCAAATGGTCATTACACGCAGGCTGCACACAACGCAACCAAACAAGCCAAAAGGGCGAGGGTCAAAACACGGCAAAGCAAGGCAAGAGAAACGCATCATAATGTTCACAGTAAAAGATAAACAAGACTCAGCCCTGAAGTGTGTGAGTGCTGTTTATAAAGTCCATCTAATCAGTTCATGAGCAGCGCGCGTGTGCGCGTGTTTTTAGCACAACAATCCAGAATGAATAACACTAGTTAAACAGTAACAGAATATTTTTTTAATTTATACTTAGTTTTATTGATTTTTTTTTTTTTAGGAACATATAACCAGTGGGAACAAACAAACAAACAAATAATATGGTTTTATTATACGTATATACACAAATACATCCATTACACACAAGTATACATGTATACATAAAAATATTAAATTAACCTCATCATGAAAATAAATAAATAAATAAATAAAATAAGTATACAATAAAAGTATTAAATAAAAGAAAAGATTGCCAAACATGTTCTCTCTGTGATGCATACACTCTAAAATTATGTAAATCTTAATTTTTTTATAATTACATTGCCGTTGTGAAGAAAGCCAGCCTTTTACTCTATTTCTTTTCAAAGATCTCTTTTTGTAATCAAAGAGCATGTGTCTTTTTTTTTTTTCCTTTTCCTTAACTTCTGCTATTATTTTAAACCGTTCATCTTTAGTTGGTGGGTCTTTTTTTTTAGACTATTTTCGGGTTATAGCTTTTTTACTTGTTGCCAATAATTATATTGTTCATTATTAATGCCATCCCCCTCACTTATTTTACCTCAATTATAACTGTACTTGACCAATACATAAGAAAATGTACACACGCAACTCAAAATGAATAAATTAACAAACCCTTACTAACGGTTCAAATTTACAACCCTTTCATTATGTTCAGGGTGGTATTTGAATCAAGAATGCATGATTTTATGCCATCATGGCTTTGCAATCAAAAAATCTCATTATAATAGAAGTCAATGGGTCAAAAACGACCACTAACATAATGAAAGGGTAGTCAATTTGCCCAGAGTCCATGATTGAATTTGTAAAGATTTTCAAAGCATATATGCATCAAAATAAGACTTGTCACCAAAAATCATTCCCTTTGTTGAAACGCTGAGGAATTTGTGGTCAAATTAAACCTTAAAATCACCTCAAAGTGGATGAAAATATCCCCAACAGCATACAGAAGCATTAAAAAATGTAAAGAAAATAAATAATAGTTCTAATTTCCTGCAAAATAAAAGCTGTTTTGCAAAATATGTAACTTTCCTGTCTCTTTTCCCTTCTAGTTTTACATGGCTGTCCGGTCAGGTCCACAGCAACCTAGTAATGCACTTCTCCGGCCACCTTACAGACTGCTTCGATCGTGAATTTCGCTGCATGTATGCGGACTCGGATATAATAGAGCGCTTCCACAACCCGGATGAAGATGGACTGCCCTCTTACTCTTACTCTTACAACATGCCGGCGCCAAACTTCGGTCTGGACGTCCTGGCGGATTACGGCAGCAGAGAGCGAGTGTATTCGGAAAACTCCAGCAGCCAATCCAGCAGCAGCGTTTCCAGCATCAAAGCTGCTCCCCCAGGCACCAAATCAGTTTACAAAGTCAACCACGACAAGAAGAGCCAGGAAAATACGCAAAAAACTCCTGACAAGAAGGACGCCACGAGTCCAGTGCTCCACATGCCCTTGGCAGCCCACATCGGGAGAGGATTTCCCAATGAGATCCACCAAACTGCTGAACGTTCCTCTTTAGGTCAATCCGGCGGTGCGGAATGGTCCAAAATAGGAAACACGGATTATCTACGTTCAAACATCGGCGGACAGACTTCAAAAATCCAATCGTTAGGACTCTACAGTTCTCCAAAACCACCATCGCCAACTCAACAGGACAACAAGATCTCCCCGAAGCATCGGCTCACCAGTCCTTTCCTCTCTAAGTTCACAGATTTGTTCACGACGAAGGAGAAAGACCTTCATGCCTTCCAGAAGGTCCCTCCTCCACGCTCGTCTCCATTTGGCGGGCCGGATTTGTCCCAGAATGAACCCGAGAGTAAACAGGGCCCTCCTCCACCTGGACCAATGCCCATTGACAGGATGGGCCCGGATAAAGGCATTCATCGGCGGGATGAGAAACGCATGACTTTAGGTCACAGCAAGTTGGACCTTGTCGCTCAATACAACAAGATGAACAAATCCAAACAGGTATACAGTCGCTTTGAGCTCAAGAACAACTTACCTCAGTAACACTATAGGCCTGGTTGGTCAGTCCTTCAGGTCAGCTTTTGTATATAGTTGGCATTGTGAGTCTGCAAAGCCATTTCTTGGTGTGAAACTGTTGGTGTTTTAGCATTTGTATTTGTGAAATGAAGTGCTTATGTACTAATGCTGCCTTCAGGTTCATCCTGGATATAGATTATTAGGGATGTAATTGTATTTGATTTCTTTCTTCTTTCATTTCTTTCCTTTTTTTAAAACTTTTTATTTATCATTTTTCAATATATTTTTTCTAGAACAACCCCTTCCCCTACAATTTAAACCCTTACAGATGAGGGGACACGTAAGAAATAATGATATTATGAAAATTGTTAAAATAAAATAAGAAAGATATTACAAAATATATATATATATATATATATATACTGCCATCCTAATTACTTTATAGGGGAAACATTTGTACATCAAGTTACATTGTAGTTACCTCAAGTAACATTGGTCATGGGTTAATTAACCTCTAAATATACGTATCTAAATTAGGCTTGTCACCATACTGGCATTTGGTACCAATCAAAACTGACACTTTAAAAATATCCATTTCCCGCTAACATTCGAGCGCTATTAAGAACGTTCTTAAACAGCTCTGATTTGCTGTCGGGTTCACATGCTACACAAAAATGACTGTGATTGGCTGTGAAGGTCATCAATTCACCAAACTCACCGCTGATAAGTGTTACCACATATACAGGGAGCATTTTAAAGCCGCGATTTATCCGCAGATCACTCATATGTCAGCTTATAGAGTTTAGTATAGCTGATCGAGTGACTTTAAACCAGTCCAGTGTCCTGCATGTGGTTACACTCAGTAAACAGCTGTGAGTTTGGTGAACTGATGACCTGATGTTGAGCATGTGAACACTATGGCAAATCAGCACCATTTAAGAACGCGCCCAACAGCGCTCAAATGTTAGCGGGATATGGATGTTTTTTAAACTTCAGTATCGATTAGTAGCGCATTTTAGTATCGTGACGAGCCTAATCTAAATATGCTGTCATACATTTCCACCTTTTCAGAAAAATATCCGTCTTCATTTGTAGACATGCAGTCATTTTTTCCATTACATAGACTTGTTTATGTCTCTGAATCCACTGAGCCACTTTTGGAAAATCTTCTTCCATCCAATGTACTGTTATCATTTTTTTTCAACCAGTAATAATATCCTTAGTACAAATCTTGTTTTTTCTTTGGACAGTGCTCCCAGTAAGCACACAACTGGAGCAAAGGGTATTTCTATATTTAATATTTTAACTATTTCTTTTTTCAATTTTTTCCAAAACTCTTGAATCTTAGGGCAGTCCCACAAAATGTGGGTATGATCTCCTATTTTACCACATTTCCTCCAACACAAAGCAACAGATGATCCTTTTACATATGTAGAAATCATCGTTCATTTCTTTTTTTCTTTCTTTCATTTGTTTCTTTTATTTCTTTCCTTTTTTATTTCCCTCTTATTTTATTTTATTTCTTTTATTTGTTATTTAAATTTTTTATTTTAGAAGGACGAAAAGTTGAAGAGCATCAATCAATCGCATAATAAAATCGCATAAATAATTGCTTGTAAAATATATATTTAAATTCTTTTAAAACCTTTTATTTTACCAATTGTTTTGCACGGGTAAAATAAAAGGTTTAATTAAAAAAAAAAATTGATGTATTTTAAGCTATGTATGCATGTTATTAATGGGTGATAAAGTACGTTAGATTGTGAATAATTTTTTTGAGCAAAAAAATAAATGGGAAATATGGTTATTTAGTGTAAAAATAGTTTGTTTATATATATATATATATATATATATATATATATATATATATATATATATATATATATATATATATAATTATTTTAAGTCATAATTAGAACAAATCGTTTGAATGCATTTTAAAAGATGTTATTTAAATATTTGGAAACACTTTAGTTTAATCACCAGCTCTCACTATCAACTACTCATTTATTACTTGCCTATTATTAACATATTAAATGTTTATTAGCACTTGTATAGTATGATCTTATTCTGCATCATTAATCATAATCAATACCTAAACCAATTTAATACCTTACAAACTATTAATAAGCAGCTAATTGGTAGTTAATTAAGCTAAAATTCTTAGTTAATAGTTTATTAATAGTGAGAATTGCACATTAAAATAAAGTGACCAAAGAGTTAAGTCCTCTTTAATTGTAATTTCTGAATTTAAGAGTTTTCCACCATCCTTTAATCCAAGTTTTTTTCCTACAATTGTCAGCAACAACATTTTAATCATGATTTGCTTTGTCATGTTAGAAGCATGTTGTTTTAGTAACTCTTTATTTTGATGCTCCATTTGAGTATTAGTAGACTGTCTGTTTTATATCTGCTGACACTGCTGTAAACAGACATTTAACTCACTGTGAGAAACTTTGCAAGTACATGTCAACTTGCACTAACCCTAACCCAACCTAACAGTTATAATCTAATGAGAATTAGTTGCAACTTAACTTGTTGTAACTTAAATTCAACAAACAGACCATCAAAATAAAGTGTGATCATTGTTTTAATTTTACATAAATGTATAGTTTACACAGAATAACAGTGCAAAGTTTTATCACTCATATTTTTACAATTCTTTTCTATTTAAAGAATTAAAGTACTCTTTACTTGCATTTAATATGCTTTCTTTGTACATACATTGCCTTTTGTCAATTTAAAATGACGCAGAAACCAAAATTTTGACCTCCACATTAAACTATTATGCTTTGCCTATTCATAAATTTTATACAAACCTTTTACATTCAGTAATAAATTAAAACTAATTCTGTTTTTTCCTGCTAAGGCATTAGATTTTGCTTTTGTTAAATAAGTTGAATATATTTTATATTTGTTCCGATAAAGGGACAGGTCACCCCAAGAACTTTAATTCCATCATCATTTACTCTCCCTTTACTTATTCCAAAGCAATGTGAGAGTGTTTCTTTCTCTCAAACACAAAATAAAATGTTTTGAAGAATGCTGGAAACTTGTAAACATTGACTTCAAGAGTATTTGCTCTTCTAGTTATGGAAGTTTATGGTTACAGGTTTGTAGCTTTCTTTGTTCAAAAATGTTTAAATAACTTCTTTTTTGTTCAAAAGATATGTTCTTAACTACTTGGAGGATGAGTAAATAGAGTACATTTTCATTAATACTACATGAAATGCATGCAAACTTAACTCTAAAATCAACTTTAATGACAACACCTTTTGGATCGACTGTTTCTACTATCATACTTTATAATTATAATAGCATTGTTGTGGCATATGAGTAAGAAATTTAACCATTTTTACTTGACCTGAAGGCAGCATTAGTATTTTGCACCAGTAAATAGTTCATTTAATAGTGTTTGTTCGATATATAAAACCATTTGTACATAAAAACAACCATTTGTACATAAAATCCATTGCTTCATGGGACATTTTTGTACTCCTGCTGTTTTCCTATCTGCCACTTTAGCTGGCAAAGCAGACGGTGTTGATGTAAATGCAGCCAGTGTGTCTGCCGCTGAGTATTGGCCTAGTGGAGGTTAATCGTGTATAGTCTTCCAAACGTTCTCATGTGTTTGTACTACAATGTGATTCCTGTGTCACTGAAGACTTGCATTTAGACTGTAACATGCACTTTGGCTAATGCTGCAATTAGCTGCTTAACTAATAAAGTACTGTATTATCTCAGAGAGGCCTCGCCGATGCAAGAGAAGCTAATTGTGAGAGAGCATTATATTTACATTATAATGTTTGCCGGAGCTTTTCCACCTTTTGATATTTACCAATGCTAATGGAGCTGATTTGTGTGTAGAAGTGTTTGCAACAGCCTGCTTTGAATTCTAAGGAGCATTCAATGGATTTGTTGTCACTTTGTATGCAGGTCTTGATCTATAGTTGATTGGGCTGCACAATATATCACAAAAAGTATCGTTAACGCGATAATGCTACATGCAATGCATACTTATCGCAGATATGAGGGATAAATTTATGATTTATTCATTGGTTGTTTATCTGAATTTGACCAATCAGATGAGGCTGTACTATCTTTAGCCCCACCTCCTTAGAAGTTGCTGTGCTGCTATTGGCTGGAGATCCTCAAAGGCAAACCTTTTAAAAAGTGACAACAGCCAATCAGAGTCAGAGTTTTTTTTTTTGCTCATTCATATTGCTTTAAAGACTAAAGCTACGTCCGAAATCCCATACTTCTATACTATATAGTACCGTACTATTGTTACGACCCTGGTCTAGGGCCAAGGCCGCAACATAAAAGATGACCAGACAAATATAAATCCCTAGTATGACCCTTTGGTGTCGCGTCTTTTTATTTGTCCTTTTTTTTTTATTTAGATTTTTTTTTATCACCCAAAAACGTAAAACCAACTACCTCGGAGTGGACCCACAGAAAAATAATAAACAAAAAGTACACTCTAACTAAACACCCAACTGAAACGAACTCTAATAAAATAACAAAAATAAAAATACAAAATCTACCCCTACCTCCCTGACTAAGAACAAAAAGTTTTACATATTTATAAAAGGAAAGTGTAGCGTCCAACCCCTACTGCCTCTTACCGTGTACAATATTTATAATATTAACAAACACAAACAAAAAAACCATAAACATAATTGGAGGGGAAAACACGGATGGGTTAATAACACAGAGTCAAAACTTTTAGACCAACGGAAAACACAATCAATGATAACAACTTTATATCACCAACTCAAAAACAACACACCAACAAAACTCGCTCTCCCGCCCCACACACGTTTTTCGTTTTTTTAAAAGACGCCCTGGGTTACTTCATCCAATCCCAGGGCACGTCGTCTGCATAGCTAGGGCAGGGCGTGCAGATGTAATGAGAGGGAGAGAGAAAGAGAGTGACACACACACCTGCCAACGCAACACTTTATAGTATGGAAGTATGCGATCCGAGAAGAATGTACGAATTCATAGAATTGTAATAAACGGTATGCGAGAAGTACTCCGATGACCTACTACTTCCGGCGACATTCTGAAGTGTGCATCCGGTTGATCTTATGCTATCCCGTGATGCACCGCAAGTGAATTTGTGATTGGAAGTGACGCATTGCAACTGACAGGGGTAGGTCATGTGATCATGACAAAATGGCGGATGTAGTACGATGAGTTCCATTCATACTACTCGCCTTCGTACTGTATAGATTGTACTTTTATAACAACAGATTAATACATTTAAATTCAAATGCAGAACCTACTGAGTAGTAGGCGATTTCGGACGCAGACCAAATGTTCGCACTTCGATAAAGTTTTGTTTGTCTGAATTAGAATTAATTGGATCTAAAAAAATT